TGTTGACAACACGCAGAAGAGAAGGGAAACGTCACCCTTGGGGAATGCCATGAATCTGAGGAGTACACCAGGAGAGCATTTCATCATGGTAGAGCAAAGGTTATTGAGAGGAGACATGGTTTGGCACATGTCTTAATACAACTGAAAACTGCAAGAATGTCTGGTTTACCTCCCTTTTCTCTGCATGGTGTCTACATTAATCTCTCTAATCTATGCACGGTGAAAGAGTGTGATAAGGTTATGATTCACTTAAAAATATCTGCCTTAATATCTCCCTGCAGACATCATCTATAGCCATAGCAAGCTTTGCGAATGTGTTTAAACCACTTATATCTTTGAAGAATTTGCCAAGTAAGAACCACCAACATACATATCGTATTGAGGTTTTACATCATAGACTAAAACAAAGTGATTAACAGCTAAATGGGAGGGAAAGAATATATCACATATATTAATTTCAAGAAATTAACATAAAAAGCATTGAATTCTTATGTATTCCGACCTTTTTTAATGGTAGAATAAGTAGAGCAATGGTAGCAGAGCAATGGTAAGGGGTCCCTATGTCCTCCAGCAGCCCAAGTCTATAGAAGCTAGCTACAGAGATCGCTCAGGGTAAGAGTTTTTGATATTTTTAGGAAAGGAATGAGGTCAAAAAAACAGCTCTAAACACTAACAAATGTTGACTCTACTACTTCAAACCCAGATGACTGAAGACAAAGTTACCCGATATTCTAACGTGATTATAATTAGTTAAAGGAATTCTAATAATCATCCTTTAACGTCTCAGTTATATAACTATATGGTGGTACTGAGTAAAACCCCTCTGTTTTCAAATTTGCAGAAAACTCTCTCCCATGACTCACTTAGCCTGAGATAATATTTTGCCTGCTCACAAAACAAAAAGTAGCAGGGTAATATTTTTCAGCTGACAAAGACTCCCACACATTGTTTCTGGACACCGCAAGATCACCAACCTGCTGAGTTCTTTCATGTCATATCAGGTTTAGAAGAATTTGTGTGTACATGTCCAAAGACAATAGCTAAGGGTGTGATTTTGTAGGTTCCCGCAGCATCTTTCTTAAACAAATACAAAATAAACTACCATTCTCCTTTTATGTTGTTTGAGCTTCTTATACTTTAAATTAATCACAATTATCTACAGTACTTCAAACTCAAATCTTTAATGTAGTTTTAAAAATATTTGAGATTACCTCAATATCCCTGTGATGTGAAATAAAAGGGTGTGAATTTTACAGATGCATGTTAATTTTAGTGCTGCTTTCCCGTTGGACAACGGGGGTGTGGGTGTCACAGTTTCATTTGGGAGGTCAGAGTTCACAGTCAGTCACATATAGCAGCGGTTTGTCCGACCATGACCAAGCATTACAGGGTGTGCCGGTTCCTTGAGGCTTGTACCTTCCCTCAAGGAAGATCTGGCTTTTGTACAATTAGATTTTTGGAAACAGTTCAACATCACTCAGAATGTGCAACCCCCCTATTTAACAATTTTTAAATGTTGTACATCTGTTGAGTTGGAACAGCGTTGGTACAGAATCACCAGAGGAAGGTTAATGCAGACAATCTGTGTTGAAGACAAATACATTTGTATTTAGGAACAGATATAGTTTTGGATAGTTTAAAGAAGAGGTAGAAGCATAAAAACTCAAAGTAGGTGTAATAGCAGTATATTTTAAAAGTGTGTTAGACCTGAAAGAGACAAATCTTTTGGTCTAGGTTCCTCCAAGGAAGGGAGAGGGAAAAAAGGTAGAGGAAAAGTACTTTAAATATGACATTATTAAATACTGTTCAATAAATGATAAGTGTTTTTAATTAGGAGTAGTGTTCATTTGAACGTGTTCCATGTTTGTCAAAGAACGCTACTGCCACCTACTGGTTTGTGACGTCACGGTGCGGTATCGGCTGTTGATCAAGTCCCAGTGCTGTATCTGGTGTTTGTTACAACGCGCTATTATCCAAGTCATCTTGAATACATTCTTCTTCCAAATGTTGGCTACATATTATGTGTTTTTTCTCTGGCCATAAGTTCGATGGCAAATCCTCCCTCTTCAAGTTGGCGATCCAACGACGAACCCGTCCGTAGAGGATCAGGAATCGGAGAAGTGAAATAACTCTTTTTTTTCACTTTGTATTCCAACACCTGACTGCCATGCACGTGGGCATTGTCAGTTTCACTATAGCTCTGGTGAATTTCAATGGTGAAGTCCTCTGAATATCTTCAATAATTGTTGTTGATTGCATATGTGTCTAGTAGTTCCCATTGATTTTGCTTGTAAAGCTGGGAGAATGGCGCTAGGCTTACCGCACCGTGACGTCACTGCTGGAAGATGGCAGGAGGGAGGAGTTACTATATTTGGCCAAAAATGGCCGCTCCCAGACTCAGTGATAGCGACAAAAATTATTGCTTTCTTTTACGGGCTAACATTCAATTCATCAAATCACTGAGAACATATTAGTTTTAGATATAGAAAATGATCCATTGATTGTTCCTTGCTGACCGGACTTTTCCTTTTAAAACACTGTTTCTGTAACACTTATTAAAATTCAAACCATTCCAGTTTCAGCAGCACCATCGTCTGTGCAGAAATGCGCTGTAGAGGAAGCCCAGACGTCCGTCAAAGGTCGTATTTTTGGCGTAAAGCCGACCTTGTTTAACACAACAGCCTGCTACACTGAAGTATGCTAACCAGCATACTTCAGTGTAGGCTAACCATCCTTAGCCTTTTCAAAAAGAACTACAGAAACAAAAGTTACACAAATATACGTAAGGGCTAAGGCTCTCTGTTATAAACCTAAAACACGTGAAGGTCTAGACATTAGCGTGTGCCTCACAGAGTAACCATGAAGAAATATTTTATTTTTGTTAAACTTCGTTAGGTGCCAATCAGGCGAATCCTTGTGGGCAGACGTATATTTCTTAACGCTAGCTAGGAACACCAGTAGGTCCCTAAGCTAAATTGGAGCTAGGAAGCATCCTGGCTACTAGCTCTGGCTAGCTGTACTTAGTAGCTAACAGGTTAGCGTGTTTTAGCTCGGTCAGCCGGCCATGTTAGGCTACACTAATTTTAACTTCGTGTCAACAACAACCTTTCGTTTTTTACAAGTAGAATAACTTGTTTTATTGGTAATTAATTTCTACGAAAGTAATTTTTTAAAGTTGCAGGGAAATCATTTCCACTGTCCATAGCGTTCCTTGACGGTGTCGTTTCTAAGTCACCAATTTAGTGCTACTTGTTCACATTATAATTTCCCATTGGGAACCTACTAGCACTAAGTTGCTAACTGTTTAGCAACAATGCCTCTGAGAAACCAGCCACGATCAAACGTGCTTGCGAACCTTCCACCACAACAATCCCGCCCTCTTGATAAGTGACCACTCAAATTCGCTTTATTCACTCATGTAAAGTCATGCGCCACTCGGCAGAATTCAGAAGTGCTACAGTTAGAATGGCTGTTTCCCTATGACTTTAAGATGTCCCATTTGTCCTCCCCTGCCCTCACCTCTTAAAATAAGCTGAGACTTTTTTTGTCACCTAGTTAAATGTCAGAACTCAGTCTGTCTTAGAAGGCAGTACTTTCCTTCAAGACTTTCAGCTACTTTAGACCCATGAAATGTAAAATAATAGCAAATATGTATAGGTAATAACAGTGTATGTAATAAGATGTTATTACCTATGTAATGAGCCGCTCAGACCCCCTTACACCGGCTGAGTGTTGTCACTGGGAATCCCCTTAAACAGCAGCCTCTGGCCCGCTCGCCTCTTCGCGTTTTTTAGCTACATTTTGCAGCGGCTAAAAGTAGATATTAGCGTTTTTGTTAGCGTGATCCAAACTGCAGGCATCAGAATAATAAAATTTAACATATTTTGACGGCAGGTTTCAACATTTTAAGTTAATTTAGGCGTTAATAAACTGTTTCTGAGGATTGATCATAGCGCTCTGCATCAGCAGCGCTGTGTCTGTCTCCCTGCCAGCTCCCAGATCAGCTTCACTGATTGGTAGATGTGGCGCGTCGAGCAGCAAAAGATTTTCCAACTCCAGGATCTGCTGCTTCTTAAGTGCGTCTCGCGCGTCAAATACTTCGAAGCTCATGAGGCGTTGCTTCAGCTGCTCAGACGCGCTACAGAACCTTTACTGTAAACCATTGACTTTGCATGTAAACTAGCTGCTTCTGCTGCCTCTGTTGCGTGCGGTCTGAACATAGCATTAGAGTTAATAATCCAATTTCCCCTCTTGTATTACTTTAATAAAACATTATTAAAAAAAGGATAAAAAAAAAGTTATAAGCTAAACTTAAAATAGAAGAAACATGGGGGCCCCCACCATCTTTGATGTAGCTCTTTTTATGACGATAAAATCCCACTGTACGGACAGAGATCAACTATGTACCCTTTGTATGTTGTGGTGCATATGGTTGTGTGTTGGAGTGTGTAGTTTTGAGGATTGTTTGTGCAGTGAATGACTGAGGGCAGCATGCTTCATCATGTTCGGGGCACTTGAACCGCCTCAGGGTAACAAGTCATCCACGTGGAACTCTGAAACCTCACCTCTACCTCCACTCTGCTGAAATCACTCTAACGTTTCACGTTTGAGCTTTTATATTCTAAAACAATACTTGCAACATATAGATTTTCAGCTGTGGGAAAGAAAAGCTTGTGATGATTTATTTCATTTTTTTTTTATTAAGGAGTTGCACTGCCTAAAATATTGTCTTTTTTAAACTTTTTCTTGACGGTGGGCATCTTGTTAGAATGGTTGATCTGTAAAACTTTAGTTTCAGGTGAAAGAATGTGAGAGAATAAAGAATGCGGGTTAGCTATTAGTCGGCATGTGTGTTTACACAGCAAGCCTTTCCCAGGTGCTATACAATCCCCAGGATTACAGTGGAGAGCAGGCTTACCCACACACACAAACACACACCGCTCCACCGTCTCCCTACCCCCCAAAAGGAAAAGAGGAGGGTAAAGAGAGGGAGGTGGAGGGAGATAACAGATCAGATGGAGGAAGGGAGAGGTAAAGGGAGTGCGAATTCAGCCGACCAGCTTAACTCTAGTATAACGGCTTCATTGGACAGAGAGAGGCTGGGAAGCTCTGGCAGAGGAATACAAATATAAGTTTTTTTTTTGCAGTTATTTTGTATGTAATCAAGCTGGTTTGTTTCCTGCTTAATCCTGCAGAATGGTGGGACTTTCATCCATTGCTGTTGAGGGTGAGTTTTGTTAAAATGATCTATCAGACAACTACAGCTACAGGATTTTAAAGTGAAATGACAAATTATGTTTTTTTTTTAAAAAGCTCTGGGATTACATTAGTCATACTTAAAGTATTCAGAGAGAATTAAAAAGGACACATCACTTTGCTTGAATACCTACAAGGTGAATGATTTGAATGTACTGTGAATCCACATGCAAACAAAAACCAGTTTATTGGCTTAATTGCCAAAGTCTCTGTGTGGGTGTGAGCTGATCTACTGGATGGGATGCAGGAGGAGATGTTGTGAAACAGATCTGATCTCCGGGATCACAGAAATCTGGGACTTTTGACTCACTGTGATGATGTTTGTGTTTGCATTGCATGGAGTGGAAGCTTATCCCAGCATGAGGGAAGTCGTTTAGCGTAACAGAAGAGTAGAAAGAAAAAAACCTATACCTATGTGCACCCAGTTGAGGTCACATTATTGTTCTCATCAAAGTTCTTCGGACATGTTAGCACAGGTGCTGAACTTGTGTTACCCCCCGCCACCCCACTACCTCCACCCACCCCCACCCTTCATCCCCTGCAGAGTTTAAACAACAAAAAAACAATAAGCTTCAACTGGAAGGTCCTTTTAAAGGTCCTGGTCGTGGTGTTTACCAAACCGTTTCTCTGGCCAATGTGTTTCCACTCACTAACACCACTGGGCTATGTAGAGTTTTGGACCATGATCAAGGAATGCTGCTTTGCAGCAACGGTGCAGCAAGTGTAATGAGCTATAACTACGGAGTGAAGTTTGTCCCATTATTGCTGCAAGCAGAGACCTTTGAAAAGCTTTTAATAATAAAAAAAAAGGGTTAAGGTTTTGAGAGTAACTCTCTTGTTTTCTAAATTTTTTTAATTTGTTCTACAAATGTACTTTTTTTTTTTTTTAGAAATGTAATATTTTCATATTTTCTGTTCACTTTTTAAGATTGATTTTTACAAATTGCATTCTTTTCAAACTACCGTAACTTTTACAGATCATATTTTCTTTGAGATAACCAAATTTCTTTCAAACTTTCAAAGCTTTTAGTTCCTTGTGGCCTTTAGTTTTTATTAATTTTGAAAGTATGCAGACAGGAAATTAGATGAAAGGGAGGGGAAGACATGCAGCAAATGTCAACAGGCTGGGTCTCAATATTGCAACAGCCATGTTGAGGACCAAAGCCTCTGAAGATGGGTCATGCGATCACTACCTCTGTACCCCCAAAACCTTTTTGTTTTTTTTCAGATACCTTTTTAAAATTTTCATTTACAAAACATATTCTTTTGCTTGCAAAGAAAATGGAGCAAAATTCCCTCCATAACTGGCCATAATTAGAATTCCTACAGCATTGAGTAAAACTTTTCAAATTCATGCATTTTTTTCTTTCCTTCTAGCTTTGTAAATCTTAAACATTTAAAGTGCCTCTCAAACCTCAGAAGTTAAATATCTGGTTCTTTATTATCCACCAGTGCTACGTTTTATAATGCTGCATTTGATTTTTGCTCAGTTAAAGTTATTTAGATTCAAAATGCATATGCAAGAAATGCTGGTATCTGATTCTATTCGCTAATATTTGTTTTTAGGGTTGTAAAAATATCCCATAAAATTCAGCTTTGTGGAAATGGGTTGAAATCCCGTTTCAAACACCCAGATTTCTGGTGTTATTGACAGAGTCAACAAATAAAGACTTCTTAGTGACTGCACCCAAGAACAAAGGTATTTTAACTGGGGGTTAAGCTGCAAGGGCTGTTTCACAGTTGTTTTGGACTTTATCTCAGTATTGCAAAATCGAAATAACTTTGACTGAATCTAAACAAACGTAAATATAAAAGGTACAGTACTTTCAGGCCAAACTTCAACACACTTAACTTTATCATCCTGTTTTATTTAGGTGTTCATGCCAGTAAGAACCTGATCCAGAACCCCTGAAAAGTCTGTCTGGGCTCATGAATGTCTATCTGGGCAACAGGAAGCAGGAAAAGATTGTGTAACTGTTTAGGTAGAAGAAGAAGAAAATGAAAAACAAACAAAAAGCTCTTAAAAAGGTTGTTTAAAAAGCTTCATAGGGCAAAGTTTCTGATTTGCACCATTTTTCTACCTGACTAGTGAAATGTTGGACCAATAGTGACCCTGAAACGATCCGTTTTAACCTCATGATGTTGTTTGGCTGTGTGAAAGTAAACTGCGCCAAGTTTCCTGGACTATCCGGTGTTCTGTCAGTTGAGCAAATCCCATCAGACCAGCATATCTATAGTCAATATGCATGCGCAAGATAGCAGATTTGCATTTATCCCGTTAGGTTTTTGCAAAAACAAAACAATTTAAGTTCAGATCGCCATATGCTTCGAAAAACGCCAAAAAGTAAGTAATGAAATTGTTTTTTGTACATGACTAAAGGGATACACCCCTGTTGAGGTACTTTTAAGTTAATTTGTCATACAAAACTAAAGGGGTATTGACTATGGGTATGTTCATCTGACAGAGCAGCGGCAGTGTAAATGTACCGCTGGTCAGTGTTGGGAAAGTTCTCTTTCTACGTGAACTAGTTCAAAGTTCAGTTCACACATTTTAAAATGAACTAGTTCAGTTCATAGTTCACAATTCCAAAAAACGAACTAGTTCATAGTTCTTTTTTTTTTTTTTTTCATATATTGCTCAATTACACCATAGCCTACTGTAGAACCACAGACAGCAATTATTTTATCAGTTGTAACTCTGAAACTGTGCGTCAGATTTCATCTTCATATCCAGTTTTGAATCCTTATCCAACCAGGGTTTACATTAGCATTGAGGGGACAGCATTTCCCCATTGTTGCTTTAACGCTTTGTTGCTGTCCATTCACTTCACACTAGTAGCAGCTGCAGCTTTCACCCCTACAGTATATTCTCAAAAACATCAGGAAAAATGTGCTGCTTGAATGGTCTTTTTTATGAGTAATTATTAAAAGAAAAATAGGAAAGTAGTCTTTAAGGTGCAAATGTTTTTTTTTTTTTTTCCATTTCAATACATACTAAAAAGGAATACTGCAATCCTGGAAAATTATACCAGGCAGGTTTAACAAACAAGTTACATGGATAGTAAAACCATCAAGAACAGGGCTCTTCTATGTTTTCCAGACCAAGGACCCCCAAACTGATGGCGAGATGGAGCGGGGACCCCCTAACTATATATATTGTATGAAATTGTGTCCTATAGTCACTCTATTACAGATGGAGTAATGTAAAGAAATTAATTTCTCCCTGGGATTATTAAAGTTTTTCTGATTCTGATTCCTGGTTGTTGTGAAGGAAACGGTGCCCAGCTTGAAAGAGCTCCTGTGTGTCGCTGAATGTGTGCATTGATGACTGAAAGACATCTTCTGCCTCCATTTATCTGTTTACTACAGTGTGTTGATTTCATGTTAATGAGTATTTAAAGACATTTCAATTAGTGGGGGAAAAAATTGCAGGGGGGGAATATAAAAATATCAACTAACCATGCAGACCCTCATGCAGTACCTCCGTAGACCCCCTAGGGGTCGCGGATCCCCCGTTGAAGACCTCCGCTCAAGAAGATTTTACTAACACAAACTGAGGGACCAGGCTGAGGTAGGAATTTAAGGTTACTGAAGTGCGGATTTTTTTTACTTTTTTACTGAAACTTGTTGCCATCATCTTCACCGACCACCTGGTCATAAACCTGTTTTAAGTCGCCTCCACGCTGCTGTTGCTTCCACGCTGCATTTTGTTTTGATGACGCACGCAGCTGTAGGCTACGACACTGGTAGCTGGTGTTGCCAGATTGGGTGTTTTTCCCGCTACATATTAAGGCTTGTTTACGGTGTGATTTAGCCGGGGTTTCGCCTGGAGGACTCTATAGAAATCTGGCAACCTATTGAACGGAGCTGAACTGAGAGAGCGTGCCGTTCACAGACACCAGAATGAACGAGTTCACAATAACGTTCATCAGGCAATAATGCAGTACGTTCAGTTCACGTTCGCCCAAAATATGAACGAGTTCATGAACTTTCGTTCAATGAACGCGTTCAGGCACAACACTGCCGCTGGTTTACTATTTATTTTTTACTTTATTTATTGAAGGAACCATGACAGGCATTTGCCATGCTTCTTTTTGGCTTTATACATAAAAATTAGACATGCATTAATACCACAGAATGAACTACAATCTGGTTGAGAAAACGTCCAACTGATGACTGATCTTTAATCACACAGCTTAAGATTTGTGAAGCCTTTAAAGGCAATGTACAGCAGAAGTACCGTCATTTTCGGACTGTAAGCCGCACCTGAATATAAGCCGCAGAAGCTAAATTGCATGATTTGTACATATACAAGCCGCACCGGACTATAAGGTTTTTTTATCTTTAATTACCATATGGTTCGTGCAAAGAGAGGATTGTCGGGAAAGAGGCAACTGTTTGGGGAAGCTCCTATTTATTAACAATTCAACTCAATTTGCATGTTTGCATACGTTAACTGTTACAATTTAGTGCAATGTCCGTCTTTCTCGCTGTCGATCTGTCTCGTACCACTCGTGGTAGAAGTCTGCTTTCGGAGGACAAGTACGCACGCGTGTGGCTACCGTACTTGTGTGTTGAAGCAAATGTCACGTCAACATGGTGGATGGTAAAATCCATAGATTTAGGTATTACCCTAGTGGCTGTTAGCTGTAAAAGTCCATAGATAAGCCGCATTGTTATATAAGGTCGAAGAATCGGGAAAAAGTTGCGGCTTATAGTCCGAACATTATGGTACAGCAACATTTTATCAATAGATGATCGTCAGTTGACACTTTTAACGCACTTATCTAATTTCTGGCTTTAGTGCATGCAAACTGTCCAAGTCTTTGGACTTCGGTCCAGAATACTTTGGTCTGAAGTTTGTATATATTTGAATATTTTCTAACTAGCTGTTGTGGCTTTATACTCCAAGGCGGTTTGCACCACAGCAGATTTCCAACATCCATATAAAGCAGGGGAAACTCTTGGATC